TAAATTCAGTTAAAAATATCCTCAGGTGAGCTTATTAAAGAATGAATATAAATAAATAAATTTTGAAAAAAATAGTTAAATATGTAACCTACCAATATAGAAATTTGACAGAATTTGCACAACTTGGTTATCTAGGTGTTTTAACACTCTGATTGCTGTAATACAGAAGACTTGTTTTATAAGTTCTAACCAGAGCTAACAAAAATTTGGTCAACTTATGTTCAAACCTCCCCTCTCCCCCAATGATCTAAAATGAAAGTGACAAATCAGGAATTAGACAAAAGAACATGGGTTATTTACAACCAGGATCATTTGAATAGAACAAATAGCAAACACTTTAAAAAAAAAACTCACCAAAAATAAAATCCACGAGTTAAGTCATTATTTTAGCTATTTGGTAAAAGTTAACTTCTTTTTTACTCAAACATATCAAAACACTGTTTAAAACTTTGGTTTGTAAAATGGAATAATTTGCTATTTCTACTTTCCAAGGTAAAAAACATAAAGTCATTTGTAACCTATTGTAAAACATCTGGGAATTATATAGATTTGAATCCATAATGCCCTAATATTAACCTTTTTTTTTTTTACTGGCACCTGCAGAAGTCATTTAAACATTGTCTAACCAAAAATAAATAAATGAATAAATAAAAAGTTAATATTTTGAGAAGATTCTCTATATAATTTGAGTGCCTATTATTAAGTTCATACATTATCTTATCCTCCCAATAGCACAATATCTATATAATAAAAACCTAAGCAACTGTTAGGGCAGAACGACCAGAACAACCTGTCGCTATGATGCACACTGACCACCAGGGGGCAGACGCTCAACTCAGGAGCTACCTCTGGTGGTCAGTGCGCTCCCACAGGGGGAGTGCTGCTCAGCCAGAATCTGGGCTTTCAGCAGTGGTGGCAGGAGCATCAAGCAGGGGGGCAATAAAGAGTGAAGGGTCTCAGATTGCGAGAGGGCGCAGGGGACCCTGCCCTCCAGTGCACAAATTTCGTGCACCGGGCCTCTAGTATTACTAGACCCACTTAAGAAGTGAGGAAACTGCCTGGCTGGTGTGGTTAAGTGGTTGAACATTGACCCAGGAACCAAGAAGTCACTAGTTTGATTCCTGGTCAGGGGACATGCCTGGGTTGCAATGTTCAATCCCCAGTCCCGGCCGTGCAGGAGGCATTCAATCCATGTTTCTCTCTCATCAATGTTTCTATCTCTCTATCCCTCTCCCTTCTCTCTCTAAAATCAATATATATATATATTTTAAAGTGAGGAAGCTGATGCTCAGAAAAATTAGACAATTTAGTCCAGATTATAAGCTGGAAAATGGCAGAAAGGGTTTGACTCCAGTACCAGGTTTTTCTCATGTTCTTGTGTTGTTCCTGTTAATAGTGGGCAACAATATTTAGCACAGTTAAAAATGGTCTTCACAGATTTACAGAAATAGAAAGTAGAATGGTGTTTGCCAGGGGAGGATGGAAGAGGGAGTTATTGTTTAATGGATAAAGAGTTTCAGTTTGGGATGATGCAAATGTTCTGGAGATGAGTAGTGGTAATTTTACAATAATGTGAATGTTCTTAATGCCATTAAACTGTACATTTTGAAATGGTTAAAATGGTGAATTTGTTATGTATATTTTACCACAATAAAAAAAAATAGCATTCAACATCATGCCCATTTTGTTGTTTTCTTACAAATTCTATCATTTTAATATTCAGAATGGTCAAAAGTAGGTTTATAGTTTTGAGTATGCAAAACACAGAGTATATTCCTGTATTATTATTTATAAATTATTTGTATTATTTTTGTATAATGTTCATATTATACAAACAACTGTAAAGCTACTTTTGCCCACACCTGTAGACTTCAGAATACTTTAAAATTAAAAATGTTTCAGTTATATGATTTTCTTTTTAATATTTTTACTTTTATTGAATTTATTGGAGTGACATAGGTTAATAAAATTATATAGGTTTCAAGTATCATTTCTATAATACATCGTCTGTATGTTGTATTGTGTGTTTACCACCCTTCTTTAATCCATTTAGAGTTTATTCTTGTGTGGTGTGAAAAGGTAGTCCAGTTTCATTCTTTAGCATTTATGGACTTTATCAGCTGCTCTTTCTGCATCTATTGATATGATTCTGTAGTTTTTATTCTTCATTTTGTTTATGTGGTGTATCAAATTTACTGATTTGTGGATATTGTACCAATCTTGCATTTCTGGAATAAATCCCATTTGATTATGATGTATGATCTTTTTAATGTGTTGCTAGATACAGTTTGATAATATTTTGTTAAGAATTTTAGTGCGTGAGTCGAGCGGAGCCGGAGACTAGACCGGAGGCCGAACTTGGGATCTGACAAGATGGCCGGGCTGCCCCGCAGGATTATCAAGGAAACCCAGCGTTTGCTGGCAGAACCAGTTCCCGGCATTAAAGCAGAACCAGATGAGAGCAACGCCCGTTATTTTTATGTGGTCATTGCTGGCCCCCAGGATTTCCCCTTTGAGGGAGGGACTTTTAAACTTGAACTATTCCTTCCAGAAGAATACCCAATGGCAGCACCTAAAGTACGTTTCATGACCAAAATTTATCATCCTAATGTAGACAAGTTGGGAAGAATATGTTTAGATATTTTGAAAGATAAGTGGTCCCCAGCACTGCAGATTCGCACAGTTCTGCTATCGATCCAGGCTTTGTTAAGTGCTCCCAATCCAGATGACCCATTAGCAAATGATGTAGCGGAGCAATGGAAGACCAACGAAGCCCAAGCCATAGAAACAGCCAGAGCATGGACTAGAGCTAGACTATATGCCATGAATAATATTTAAATCGATCTCATCATCAAGTGTTCATCACTTCTCCTGTTCTGCCAAGACTTCTTCCTTTTTTGTTTGCATTTAATGGACACAGTCTTAGAAACATTACAGAATAAAAGCCCAGACATCTTCAGTCCTTTGGTGATTAAATGCACATTAGCAAATCTATGTCTTGTCCTGATTCACTGTTATAAAGCATGAGCAGAGGCTAGAAGTACCATCTGGACTGTTGTGAAACGTTTAAAAGCAGTGACCCCTCTCTGCTTTTATTCATTTCTCCCCATCATGGTTTAAGTATAAAGCACTGTGAATGAAGGTAGTTGTCAGGGTTAGCTGCCGGGGTGTGGGTGTTTTCTTTTTTTTGAGGGTGTAAGTAGTTTAATGTTAATTTTATGGGCTCCTTTCCCCCTTTTTATGGTGATCTAATTGCATTGGTTAAATGCAGCTAACCAGTTCTTTAGAATATGCTCTCTAGCCAAGTCTAACTTCATTTAGACGCTGTAGGTGGACAAGCTTAATTGTTTGAACCAAAATGGGAACATTAAACAAACACCATGGCCCTCACAAATAACATTGTGACTTTGCTGTCAGATGTAGAATCCCCCCTTCAAGAAAAGCTTGTGACCATTTGTATGGCTTGTCTGGAAACTTCTGTAAATCTTATGTTTTAGTAAAATATTTTTTGTTATTCTAAAAAAAAAAAAGAATTTTAGCATCCATGTTCATCGAAGATATTAGTCTCTAATTTTCTTTCTTTGTAGTGTCTTTATCTGATTTTGGAATTAGGATTATGCAGGTATCATAAAATGAGTTTGGGAGTCTTCCCTCCTCTTGAATTTTTTTGAATAGTTTGAGAAGGATAGGTGTTCTTTTTTGAATATTTGGTAAAACGCACCTGTGAAGCCATCCTGTCCAGGACTTTTGTTTTTTGATTACTGCTTCAATTACGTAGTTGTAATTTGTGTAATTAGGTTTTCTAATTCTTTCTAATTCACTTTTGGAAGATTGTATGTTCCTGGGAATTTATTCATTTTGTCCAGGTTGTCCAATTTATTAGTATATAGTTGTTCATAATATATTCTTACAAGTATTTTTATTTCTTTGGGGTCAATCGTTACTTCTCCACTTTCATTTCTGATATTATTTATTTGGGTCCTTTCTTTTTCTTGATGAGTCTGGTTAATGATTTTTCTGTCTTGTTTATCTCTTCAAAGAACCAGCTCTTGGTTTCATTGATCTTTTGTACTGTTCTTTAGACTCTATTTTGTTTATTTCTGCTGTGATCTTTATTATTTCCTTCTTTCTACTTACTCTGGCCTTTGTTGTTCTTTTTTCAGTTCATTTAGGTATAGAGTTAGACTGTTTATTAGAGATTTTTCTTGTTCCTTGAGGTAGGCCTGTAATGCTATGAATTTCCCTGTCAAGACTGCTTTTGTGTGTTCAATAGAATTTGGGTTGTCGTGTTTTTATTTTCATTTCTCTCTTTTGATTCTTTTCCTTTATCTCATTGTTAACCTATTCATTGTTTAATAACATAGTAATGAGTCTCCATGTCTTTGTGTGTTTTTCAATTTTTTTTCTTGTGATTGATATCTAGTTTTATACCATTGTGGTCAGAGAAGATACTTGATATGATTTCAGTCTTCTTAAATTTATTGAGACTTGTTTTGTGGACTAACATGGAGTCCATTTTAGATAATGCTCCATGTGCACTTGAAAAGAATGTATAGCCTGCTGCTTTGGAGTGAAATGCTCTGAAGATATCAATGAAATCTATCAGATCTAGTTTGTCATTTAAGGCCACTCTTTCATTGTTGATTTTCTGTCTGGAAGATCTATTCATTGATGTTTTTCTTTTGTTTTATATTTTTTTTCTTTTTTAAAAATTACAGTTGACATACAATATTACTAGTATATTAGTTTCAGGTATACAATTCCATGATTAGACATTTATATAACTTATGAACTGATCACCTTGATAAATCTAGTATCCATCTGACCATATATAGTTATGACAATATTATTGACTATATTCCCAATATATCCCCTATTTTGTAATTTACATCTCCATGACTGTTCTGTAACTACCATTTGTACTTCTTAAGCCCTTTACCTTTTTCACTCAGCCCACACCCACTGTCCCATCTGGCAACCATCAAAATATTCTCTGTATGTATGAGTCTGTTTCTGTTCTGCTTGTTTATTTTGTTTTTTAGATTCCACATATAAATAAAATCATTTCTCTTTCTCTGTCTGACTTATTTCACTTAGCATAATACCCTCCAGGTCCATCCATATTGTTGTGGTTGGCAAGACTTTTTTTTTTATGGCAGAATCATATTGTATTGTATGCACCACTTCTTTATTCATTCATCTGTTGATGGATATTTAGGTTGCTTCCATATCTTGGCTATTGTAAGTAATGCTGCAATAAACATATCGATGTATATATCTTTTCTATTTAGTGTTTGGGGTTTTTTGGATAAATCCAAGAAGTGGAGTTACTGCATCCTTCCTTGTTTTTTGTTATAGACTTTAAAAAAACCCCAAAACCTCTATTTGGTCTCCTATAAGTATTGCTATCCCAGCTTTTTGTTTTGTTGTATTTTGTATTATTTCCATTTTCATGAAATATCTTTTTACACCCCTTTACTTTCAGACTGTATGTTTCTTTTGACCTGAAATGAGCCTCTTGTAGACAGCATATGTAAGGGTCAGTCACTATATATCTCTTGATTGGAGCATTTAATTCACTTGAATTTAACTTAATTGTTGATTTCACATATTAGTGAGATTATATAGATATGTATTTATTGCCATTTTCTTATTCATATTTTAATTTTATTTTTTTCTTCTTATTAAATAAGACCCTTTAACATTTCTTGTAATACTGGTTTGGTGGTGATGAATTAGTTTAGCTTTTCTTTTCTGAGAAGCTCTTTATCTGTCTTCCAACTCTAAATGTTAGCTTTGATGGCTAGAGTAATCTTGGTTGTAGGCCCTTACTTTTCATCACTTTGAATGTTATTTTCCAATCCCTTCTGGCCTGCAAAGTTTATATTGAGAAATCAGCTGACAGATTTATAGGGTTTCCCTTGCAGGTAACTGACTGCTTTTCTCTTGGTGCTTTTTAGATTCTTTCTTTGACTTTAACCTTTAGCATTTTAATTATGATGTATTTGGGTTCATCTTGTTTGGGACTGTCTGAACTTCCTGGACTTGTATGTTTACTTCCTTTACCAGGTTAGGGAAGTTTTCCATCAATATTTTTTCAAATTCGTTGCTCTCTCTCTTCGCCTTCTGGCACCCCATGATTCGAATGTTGCTATGCTTGAAGCTTTCCCAGAGGCTCTTTACACTATCCTCATTTTTTTGGGATTTTCTGTTCTGATTGGATGTTTTCTGCTTCTTTATATTCCAAATTGTGGACTTGGTTCTCTGCATCGTATATTCTACTTTTGATTCCCTGTAATTTATTCTTCATTTTAGTTACTGTATCCTTCATTTATTTACTGGTTCATTGTTATAGTTTCCACGCCCTTTTTTATGCTGTTAAAAGTTCTCACTAAGTTCCTTGAGCATTCGTATAACCATTGTTTTGAACTCTGTATCTGATAGTTTGCTTGCCTCCATTTATTTTTTTTAATTTTTAAATATATTTTATTTATTTTTTACAGAGAGGAAGGGAGAAGGATGGAGAGTTAGAAAAATCAATGAGAGAGAAACATCGATCAGCTGCCTCCTGCACACTCCCTACTGGGTATGTGCCCGCAACCAAGGTACATGCCCCTGATTGGAATCGAACCTGGGACCCTTGAGTCCGCAGGCTGATGCTCTATTCACTGAGCCAAACCAGCTAGGGCTGCTTGCCTCCATTTAACTTATTTATTTTTCTGGAGATTTTTCCTGTCCTTTCATTTGGGACCTGTTTTGTCATCTCCTCATTTTGGCTACACCCCTGTGTTTGTTCCTATGTGTTAGGTAGAGCTGCTATATCTCCTCAACTTGGTAGAGTGTCCTTATTTAGTAGGTGTACTGTAGGGCACTGTGGCACAGCCTCCCCATTTGCTCAAGCTGGGTGCTCCAAGTGTGCTGCCTCTGTGGGCTGTGTGCACTGTCCTGTTGTAGTTGAGTCTTGATTGGTGTTGGCACATCTCTGAATGGATTGACCTCCAAGCCGATCAACTGTAAGGACTGACTTACAAAAGTACAGCAGAGGAACTCCTGTTCAAGGGCTGACTCCACAGAGCAGGACTCACTTCAGTGGGGCTTTGTTGTCCAGAGTTTGCCCTTGAGTGTGTCCCTGTGGAGGTGATTTGGTTATTATATGGCCTTTTCTGAAGCTGTCCACCAGTTGTAGTGGCTCTGGGCCCTCTGGGAGGTTGAAGGTCAGCCACTTCCTGTGGCCACCTACATGAGTGATCTGCATTTGGCTTCTACTTTTGCTGGGCTTGGAGGTGCCCAGGAGAGGCCAAGATGTGAATCAAGGCTGGCTGCAGCTAGTGCCAGGCCAGGGGGCACTTAGCAAGAGAAACAGGGTATGCGTAGACCAGATACTGCTTGTTTACAAGATCTTAGGAAAGTCCAAAACCTGAGCCAAGAAGGGCTGTTTGAATGAAAAAAGCCATTGGAAATGGCTTGGGTGGGCCTGCAAGTTGGTTAGGGCAGGATCTCAGGGAATCACCAGCGCAGGGTGAACAGAGATTGATTGAGACTCAGATATGGTGCGCCCTTGCCAGCTCTGTTTGGGGAGGGCTCAGAAAAGGAACAATGGCTTCTGCCAGCACATCTCTCTGGGAAAAAGCTTCCCCTCTAGCTCTCTTTCTGATAGCAGACAAATTCAGTTCCTGCCTGTATGTCCTTGGTACCTTTTGGGGTGCTGCCCTATTGCTGGAGCTCAAAGTGAGTCCATTTGCAAGCTCTTTAAAAGGAACACCTGGGACTCCAGCAGCCCTCCATCTCACTCAGCCACAAGACCCAATGGTTTTTCACAGCCAGAAGTAATGGGGACTTCTCTTCCTGGCACTGAAACCCTGGGCTTGGAGGCCTGGGGTGGGTTCCGGACCTCTTACCCCTCAGGGTAACCTCCAGAGCCTAGATATCTGTCCTGATTTTTAACCACATGTGGGTGTAGGACCAGATTGGTTTGTATCTGTGCCCCTCCTACCATTCTTGATGTGGCTTTTTCTTTATAGGATTTCTGTTCAGCTAGATTTTAGGCATTCTCAATATTGGTTGTTCTGTAAATTAGTTGTAATTTTGATGTTGTAGGAGGTTCTAAGTACCACATTTTTCTATGCCACAATCTTAACCGGAAATCCTGTTTGATTTTCTTGTTTGTTCATTTGTTGATTTCACCATATAAGTGAAATTATGTGGTTCTTGACATTTTCAGTATGACTTATTATGCTTAGCATGATATAATCAACTTCATCCATTGCAATTATCTATCGAAGCACACTTCAGTTGTTTCCATGTCTTGGCCACTGGGAATAATGCTGAAATGAACATAGGGGTGCAAATATCTTTGTGAATAAATGTTTTCAAATTTTGGGGGTAAGTGCCCAGAAGAGAGGTTGCTGGATCATATGGTACTTCTACTTTCAGTTTTTTGAGCAACTTACCTACTGTTTTCCATAGTGGCTGTCAAGTTTACATTTCCTCCAGCAATGAATGAAGATTCCTTTT